AGGACCAGGAGAAGACAGCGTTCTCTATGGGACAGGACTTTGGCAATTCACTGTGCTGCCTTTTGGACTTTGCAATGCTCCTGCTACTTTTGAAAGGCTTATGGAGAACGTCCTCAGGGGATTGTCATGGGAGACATGCCTGGTTTACTTGGATGACATTATCCTCCAAGGCAAACCCTTCAAAGACCACCTGAAGAACCTGGAGAATGTCTTCATGCAACTGCGAATGGCTAATCTGAAGTTGAACCCCAAGAAGTGCAACTTATTCCGCAAACAGGTCAATTACCTCGGCCATGTTGTATCAGACAAAGGAGTGTCTGTGGACCCGGAGAAGATCAGAGCTATCACCGATTGGCCAATACCTCAGGATTAGCACCAGGTTAGAAGCTTCCTTGGGCTGTGCGCTTACTACAGGAAATTTATTAAAGGATTTGCTAATATTGCCAAACCACTAACCAAGTTGACCAAAGACAAGAGGACCTTTGTTTGGGATAACAACTGCGAGAAAGCTTTTGAAGAGCTGAAGACTAAATTATGCAGCGCACCCATATTGAGCTATCCACGATCAGACGTAAAGTTCATACTAGACACGGACGCCGGCAATACAGCTATTGGAGGAGAACTTTCTCAGCTTCAGGATGGAGAAGGACATGTGATCGGATACTTCAGTAAGGTCCTGTCAGCGCCTGATCGTGATTACTGTGTCACCAGGAGGGAGCTTCTCACAGTGTTTAAGTCCATAGAACACTTTCATAAGTATCCGTATGGAAGAAGGTTTCTCTTGAGAATGGACCATGCCGCACTGAGGTGGTTGCTAAGATTTAAGTCTCCTGAAGGACAGGTTGCAAGATGGTTAGAAAGGTTACAGGAGTATGACTTCGAATCAATCCATCGTGCGAGACCGAGCCACAGGAATGCAGATGCACTATCTAGAAGACCGTGCGGGGACAACTGTGGCACTGCACAGGTAAGGTGGAAGATGGACAATAAAGGAAGACGATCGTGGCAGGATATTGCTCCATTGTCTAAGAACGCCAAGACCTACTGGGCGCAGTGGAACTCGATTTTAATGAAAGAAGGAGTTTTGAAGCGAGTCGTCAAATCGGAGGAAGGGGGCACCGAAAACTCCAACTAATTATTCCAAGGAAGAGGGTTCCTGAAGTGCTAAGGGAAGTGCACGATGGAATTTCTGGAGGCCATCTAGGGGTACATCGTACACTGGTGATAGTAAGGGAGCGCTTCTACTGGGCTAATCAGAAAGATAACGTAATAGACTGGTGCAGAAGGTGTGTGACCTGCGCAGCTTCAATGGCCCTGTTATCAAACGAAAAGCCCCAATGAGGAAATACAACGTAGGTGCCCCGTTTGAGAGCAGTCGCCATTGACGTAACAGGACCGTTCCCCACAAGGGCGGTCCCAGGGGGGGGGTCAGGGGGGTCATGACCCCCCCAAAATATTTTTTATATATATAAACTATTATACCAGGGGAACTTGAATAATTTTTATTGCAAATCGTTCTGCCAAATTGAAATTCATTGTAGTCTTTACACTTGTGGCGAATGAAAGGACTAATTACAATCTCTAACCTAAAACTCATCGTTCGAGTCTGACTGTTTTTTTGTACGTTATGAAAAGTAGGGAAGATCAGCAGACGACGGACGCTTTCAGACATATACAGCAACGGCAGTGTCCGATGCTGACATTTGACGTTCGGCCGCATTCTTCTTCTTATTTATTTTTTCGGCATTTAATGTTATCATTCATTTTAACCTAGATGATTGAAAACTTGAATTGGGTTTGGGTATTGGATAAAGAAAAGAAGTTGTATCAATAGTCAAAGCTTGAAAGGTAGTTGAATATTAATTTATCTGAGTTGAGCGTTAGGAATTTGTAATTACAGTAATGTTCAATGATTACCGTAGCAAATTTCAAAACTTTCAATATTAAATAGTATTCATATTTAGAGCACCTGATATCATATTTAAGAATACCACAACACAATTGGCATGTTGCTGGCCACAAAACAACAACAAAATGGTAGTGTCTCAGACTTAGATGTGGAAGGGACAGATTTAATTCCCAGCACAACCACAAAATCGTTGCACAAAAACTTTATTCTCACGTTGATCCCTTGTAAAATGCCACTGGCACTGACGTAGAAAAAATGAGAACACTGAGAACCAATTCTCCAGGCGGTAGCAGTGACGGGACGCCGACGGCAACATTAGTTGGATAGTGTACTTTGTGTAGGTTAACTGTTGCTTACTGGGCAGATATAATGCAGTCGTTTTGGGTCCAAGTTCTTAAACACTTCTTAGATAAAATAAGTTCTCTGGTTCAAAATCTTGGTCTGATTTTGGACATTTTCCGTTTAGCATGCACATTGGCACCTTATTACCTTATTACCAAAGCTGCGTCGTTGACCAGCATAGCTGGATAAACTGTGTCAATTTTCTTTTTTTTTAGAAATATAAATATTAATTATTTACAACAAAATAAAACTTGTACCTACCTTTTAAGAAAATAAATTTGAAAGTTTCAAAAATAAAAATAAAAACTTGGCGGGTGACTACGGAGGTGATTGTGCACTCTACCATTTGTCCTCAAAATACTCTCTCACGGAGTAGTATGCTCCTTGAAGAAGCCTATCTTGCACAACCCTGGCAAACTTTTTTTTCTGGAAGACTGCTGATCTCTGGGGGGAGCTTGTTGAACAACATCCAAGAAAAGGCAGGAAAACGGCGCTGTGTTCCCGTGAGGCGGAATCTAGGGATGTCAATTTTGCTTCTGCTACGTGTATTATAGCTGTGAACATCTCCTCTGGTCTTTAGTAGCTCAACGTTCGACCTGACGTGTACAAGGGAGGAGAATATATACTGACCAATAACAGTATGCACCTTTAGCCTTCTAAAGATTGGCTTACAGTGTTCCAAAGGAGCGCTAGATGTTATGGCTCTCAAGGCAGATTTTTGTAGTCTGAGCACTTCATCACACCCTGAAGCATGGCCCCAGAGAAGTATGCCGTAAGTGATGTGACTATGAAACAGTCCGTGGTAGATGTTTATAAGAAAGGCATCACTTAAGCTACTCTTTAGCCTACGCAGCAGAGAGACAACTCTAGATAACTTTTTGCATGTTTCGTCAATTTGAGGTTGCCAACTTAGTTTCCTGTCTATGGCGAAGCCTAGAAGTTTATCTTGTTGGGGTTGGTGGTGTTGTGATACGGCCAAATCTTGACTTAAACTGCAGACAATCTGTTGTGTTTTATTGGCATTAACTTGAAATTTTTTGTTTCTAAACCATATCTCTGCCAAAGCGAGGTCAGCAGCTGCTGCATCTCTGATTCCGTCCAAGCTCGCTCCTCCCCTAATCAGTGTATCGTCTGCATAAAGGAGAGCTTCCTCCCCACCACTGAAATCGTTTATCATTAGGAGAAAGAGCAGAGGACCCAGAATTGATCCTTGGGGGACCTCATGTTCGACCAAAAGTTCACCAAAGGAAGCACCCCTAATCACAACAACCTGCTTCCTACCTCTCAAGTACGACTTGAAGGTTTCCAGTACGACACCAGTTGCTCCATAACATTCAAGCTTTCCTAAAAGGATGTCATGTGAGACAATGTCGAAAGCCTTACTCAGATCTAGGAGTGTCAGACTAATTGACTCTTGATTCTCAAACGCCTCAGATATCCTTTCAGCAACTCGAAGCAAGGCAGTTGAAGTCGAGTGGCCCCTCCTAAAACCATGCTGAGAATCCAAGAAGAGTTCATTCTGGTCCAGATGTTCAACCAGTTGATCGTACATGACCCTCTCAAAAACCTTAGATATCACAGGAAGAATAGCAGTTGAAAGCATGGTGGAAGGAAAATACATCCACCATGAGTTGAAAGGGTGTTTTCGTAAATCAATAATGCTTGAATGTGTTGTAATGTTGCGGTATTCCTTTGATATTAAAACCCCAAGTCTTAATAATGCAAAAACATGACATTATACAAGTTAATTTTTAGACATTTCTTTGACGTTTAAATAGCCTATACTGGGAAGCTTGAACACATTAAACTAGGCCCTCAAAATAGCTTCAAAACCACTTGTTTTAGCACGTTATTTCCAAATTCCAAATTGATTCCAAATCCCAGACCCCCCTCCTTTGCTGGGGGGTATTCCATACCCCCCAGGCCCCCCGGTGACCCCCCCCCCCATTTCAGCAAATGGGTCTAGAGGCCTATGCACTGCCTAACCAGGAAGCGGTAACAGTTGCAGATATAGGTTATTATAGTTGAAATTGCACCCAAAGAAACTCAGGTCTATAGATTTTATTCATTAGGCCTAAATAGATTTTAGTTTTTTATTTTTCAGCAAACCATTGACACCTATTGAGGATGATGGGAAACAAACAACTTGTAGGCTACACTGTTAAGTTAGGTTAAAAATAGGTATTGGTTTACTTTAGGGGCTTCTAACAAATTTGGAAAAAATGGTTTTATCTCATTAATTGGCCTATTTTGAACACTTTTACATTTGGCACTTTTGGGGCAAATGCCGATTTCACCCTGAAATTTGACAATTGCCAAAAAAGTGCTAAAGATCGGCGTTTTTTTTTTTTTTTTTTTTTACTTTTAATTTGTTTTATTTAGGTATATTATTACTTTAGGACATTTTTAACACTCTTCCCAAATATAATACAATCTAACCTAACCTAACATATTTAAATTCATTAGTCTTACAATAACCATTTTCAGTAGTCATTCAGTAGTCAGTTCAATAGTCATTTTCGGCATATTGCTAACCTAAGCATGGTTTAGGTCGGGTTGGGTTAGGCTAGGTTAAGTTAGGTTAGGCTGGGTCAGATTATATTATAGCCTATATTTAGTTTGGTAACTACACTCCTCTACCAAACTAAGGTAAACTGCCCAAATAACGTGACCTTAAGGACGGTTCTCTTGAATTTGCCTTATAGGCCTAACAAATAAAATTACGACTTTTGGAACAAATATTTCTTACCAATATAATGTGTGCAAGTTTCTCAAGAAAATGATGGTTTCAGGTTGTATTATGACCAAAAAATTTATTTTTTATGTCCTTTTTTTATTTACACTCAATTTTCCTTCTATTTCTTAATTCCGTGATTCACAGAAATAATTCCGTGATTTATCAGCCTAATTCCGTGATACAGCAATTTTGGAGCTTGAAGTTCCTAAAATGACCAGAAACTGCCTAATTTCATACAAAAATATATGAAAATATAACCTCAAACACTTTTGTACCAGCCCAGCAGATGTCAATAACAGAAAGAAACAGATAAAATTAGGATAGCGCTGGGTTCACAACGATATGGTAGGCATTCGGTTAAATATCGAGCTTGTTTTCTACCGGATGACAGACATCGACTTTTAGTATCGGCATCGGCTCTGGATCACCGCACCGGCTGTCTCATACTCTATACTCATATGGTGGAATAGTAAACTATTGCCTTGGTGCCTTTGCTGCAGCTGCTCCTATAGCTCCTATGTCTGTCGTCAAACGTCATAATGTGGCCTTGACGACGGAAGGCCACAATTTTATTCACAATATTACAGTGAGAGTGAATGCAAATAAATCTATCTATCTATCTATATATTAATAGGCAAGCATGTTTCTTTAAAACCTTTTTTCTCAGCTTGTGTGCATCGTGGGGTAAATCTACGCATACCGTTAGAAAGCTATTTTCCTGTAGGTGTGCAGAATCCCTTTATAAATTTAAATAGGCTCAAAGATAAGCACAAAAAATGAGTTTACAAATTTGAAAAAATTAACATGGATCTTATGCGTTGCCATGCTGGTGACGAAATAACAACGAAATATAAACAGAAAATCAAAACAAAATGGAAGAAACTCCAATCACATGTTTTATTTACAGTGTGGGGTGAAAATAGAGAAGTGAGTACATTACATATTTTTGGTCGAGTTTCGACCACTGGACGACCTCTCGTACTTATTTAATACGCAAGCAGGTTTTTTGTGACAATTACTCCTCCGAAACTACTGAACCGATTGACATGTTTTTGGTGTCATTGGAAAGAGGGTAACGTGAAGTTGTGCAGGAAACTTTCATTTTAGGGAAATAATGAGAGATTGAGGCCCTGGAGCCCTTTAAAGTTTCGTATTTCTCCATAAGGATAACATGGGAGATAATTTTTATTTATAGAAACATATGTTTGTTACTTGAAAATAGTCAAAGTCTACTACATAATAATTTCTGTGTATTATGACTCTTAATGTATACCTACTACATTTCAGTCAAGGATTGTGTACCTTAAAGTTTACCCATAATGGATCTTACTACTATATTTTAATGCTGGGAATAGTAAAATTTAGTTGAGAATAAGTTACCATGATTAAGAAATCTTTACTATAATAATTTATGTATTTAAATTACAAATCTTTGACATTATTAATTCATTCGAAACTAAACAGCTGATCGACAAATCAAACAAATCATCTACTTCATGTGAATAATGTTGTTATTACACAAACATAGTTTTTTTTAACCAATATATCTTTTTTTTTAACAAGTATTTATTTACAATCTATTCAATACTAGAATAATAAGTAAATTTTATAACCATCTTAACATGGGTTAGTTACACTCCATCAAGTGCACTAACATAAAAAAAAAACTTTTAAAAAGTTTAACTAAAAACGATTTGGAAGGTCTATTGGATTAACTCTTTTGAGCCTATATGTAGCTTCACTATTGTCGAGGAGGTTGACTGCCAGGAAATTTGGATGGGTTTCTAATTTTCTTTGGTATTTTTCACTTCGTTTCTTTATTTCTTCTTTAACATAGGGTAATTTTGTATCTTGATGAATTACTTTATTTGTGACAAACCAATGTGCTTGTAAAATTTTTCTCAATGTTTTCGATTGAAACCTTTGAACTATTTCTATGTTTGAGTTGGAAGTGGTTCCCCAGAGTTGGATACCGTAGGTCCAAATAGGTTTCAATATAATTTTGTATAAAAGTAATTTATTTTCAACAGATAATTTTGAATTTCGACCAATGAGCCAATTTAGTTTGTTTGTTTTTAAATTTAAATGAAGTCGTTTGTTCCAAATGTGTGAATGCCATGTAAGCCGTCTGTCGAGATGCATACCAAGGTACTTAACTTCGTTGGATTGTGGAAGCATGACATTATTCAATGTTACTGGGGGACAAGTTCTTGTAGACATAGTAAATGTAACTTGAACGGATTTTGTTTCATTTACTTTAATTTTCCAATTCTGTAGCCACTGAGACAAATCGTCTAATGCAGCCTGAAGGTTCGATGACGCCAGAATAGGATCCTGATTTGATGATAAAAAGCAGTGTCGTCTGCAAATGTTGCAACCGTAATACCCTGAGTACTTGGAAGGTCATAAGTGAACAAAATATACAAAATAGGTCCAAGAACACTGCCAATATATCTTGATTCTTTTTTGGCTGTGGGTGTATTTTGAGTTTGCAGTTGTGAAAGCACCAAGCCAAGTAACTTTTATCTAATTAATTGTCAGTATACCAAGGGGAAGAAGAGTGGGTCCTTGAGAAAAAACAAAGGTGGAGACACCCATCCAGAAAATCCAACTGAGTTTTTTTTAATATAGAGGTCAGTGGATTGCCAAGACACAGATTAGACTAATAAAAGGGGGCAGTGGTTTTATTGATAAGGAATATTAATATATCAAAAAGTGCCTCATTAATGGCACAAGGCTTCATGTGATCAGAATGGTTAACAGCTTAATAGAATGTAAAGTCACTCTTAACTGGAACAAGTGAGTGGGGACATATTTTGATTTTGATGATAAAAATTAACCGTCTGAAACAAACTTACCTTTTAAAATGGAAAGATGCTAATTTCTGTTACCTTTGGCATTTGCAGCGCTGTTCTTACCCAGACCAATTTCAGTCATGAGAAACTATATTATATGTTGTTTTAAGTAAGGACATCTTTTAATAGGATACGCATATTCGTTACGGAAAACTCTGACCAGGGTAATCTTCCTGAAGGTAACTTTAAGGCTAAAATTGTAGTATTCATGGAAGTGCTTTTGTGATAAAAATATTGTTTTTTTAGTGTTTATTTTTAAAAGTGTGTTTTCTTCAAGCAGCATTTTTATGACCCTCAAAATATGCTACATAGGCCTATTGGTTTGATATGATAAAATGTTTTGTTAAATGTGTTTTAAAAATCTTTAAAAAATAACTACCCTACAACCTTGCTCGCTGCCTATAACATACTTGAACTTGAACACTTATTAACTTACTAAATATAGGCTAATACACATACAGCTAGAAAATGGCTGGACTGCTTCCCTTCCAAGGCTTCATTATTACTGTATTTAATTTTTGACGTCGAGTCAGTATATAATACGATGAATGATGTTTTCTAAATCCATATATGTTATTTTGCGGGGCATTGAGCCGCACATGTTCACTAGTAGTACAACATAATATCTGAACCTGGCATAACATTTGCCAAAATGAAAATGTTTATTATCCAATTACAGTAAGGCTGATAACCAGCATGATAAATATATAAGAACTTAAATTACGGAGGAATTTTAAAATTAATATTCCAGTAACTTGCGCAATTAACGCCAGATAAATTACCACCCCCTTACTTTTAAAAGCGTTTAGATGACCTTTGCATATTTCCTCCATAATAATGCACTATGCACCATGAAACTGATCAAAAGGAACAATGTTGGAATAAATTAAATCAAATATTTTCCTCTCCTTTTAGGCTAGTGCTAGTAGTTTTTGTAATCTCTTGTCTTCTCTCTTCTGTCTGTCGGTGTTGGTTGGTTTGGTTTTTTTAACAAAGTTTATTTACAATCTGTTTTACATTAAACAATTAATAATTAAATACGATGACATTTTTATTAATAAAATAAAAATTGGAAAACATGAGTTAGCAGCTAAACTGGTTTGTTTACGTTTTGGTTGGTTGGTTGGCGCTATGGAAGCCAATCGATTTACGATATTCGATAGTAGCTGTTTTCATACTACGACGATCGATACTTAACCGTATGCCTACCATATCGTTGTGAACCCAGCGCTATCCATAAAATTAAGATGTTTGTAAAGAGTAAGAAGAAAGATCATGCATCACGACCATAGAGGTTAAACCATAGACAAAAAGAATTAAATATAGACCGTCAGCTGTGCTGCGGTTACCATAGGTTCTGGCGCACACCGCTTGGAGCACCATGGTAGTTACGGCGTACGCGCTACGTAAACTACAGCGGTGTGCGCCGGAACCTACGGTAACCATGGCAACCGCAGCACGGCTGACAGTCTATTCCAATAAACATATTTTGTTGTTGCTCCAATTTTATTTAGCCGGTAATTATATCTTTCGACCATTTTGCACATCTTTTGTTAGAATTTTTGGCATTTATAATTTTATGTTATGAAGAGAATTGAACCTTCATTTGATTTTTTTCATAATCAGCAAGTTTGGTTGGTTAGGTTAGGTTATGACAGTAACTGCCGAGCCGGACGCCTAATCCACGTCCTGTTATCGGACGCGTATCCTCTCACCTCTGCGTAAGTTATATTATAGGTATTTAGTTTGGTAGAGGAGTGGGCTAGGCATTTTCGGCACTTTGCAATTTTTTATGATTTTCAAACCTGATTTTCTGGGTAAAAACAGAAGATGCCAAAAAAGTGCCAGAGGATGTTTAAAATGCCCTAGGAATAGTAAAAACACATTAAAAGTATAAAAAATGCAGATTTTTTGCACTTTTCGTGATTTTTAGGGTGATTAGGCGCTTGCCCCAAATGTGAAAAGTGTTCAAAATATGCCAAATAATGAGATAAAACCATTTTTTTTTCAAAATTCGTTGAAAGCCCCTAAAGTAAACAAATACCAAATATTAAGATATTCCCCAATTCTTCCATGGTTGACTAACATTTCTGTGATAGCCTATGATGTTGAAAGAATATGGAATTCAAATCGGCTGCACTTTACTTAAGGTCCTAAGTTACACTCATTTGAATGAAAATATCGATTGATATATTGATTGTTCGATAAGTTATAACGTTTGGTTAGTTAGGTAAGGTTAACCTAACCTAACTAACCAAACGATATATCAAATGAAACAATTGAATAATCGATATTTTCATTCAAAGGAGTGTAGGACCTAAAGATGCCTAAAGTAAAGTAAGTTACAGCCTTCAAATCCACTAAATGTTACTAACTTAATGCAAGCAAAATCAAACTAAAACTAAATATGGGTACAGTTTCTTAACTGGGCAACACTAATATCGATTGAAACTATCG